TTTTTGGGTTTATTGCTTAAACACGGTTTAGAAATAACTCTTTCTACATGGCACTTGGAATTTAATTTAAAAAAACATGAAAATACTCTATTCACCCAAGACCATGCAGCATTATGACTAAGGGGTTTTCACTGCACTCACTGACCGTTCACAGTTCACATAGACACAAAAAGCACGAGCACATGTGACACCCAAATGTCATATCAATAGCTTCCAGGATCCTGTCCTTAGAGTCACAGTAGGCAGTGATTTTTGTTCTCTGGGACTCTCACCATGGGCTTAAATTAAGCACTGCCCATGTGTGGCTCACCCCCTCATGACTCTGCATCAGTGCTCCTCTGGTCTCTCCTGTTCAGTATGTCTTTTTTTCCATCCTCTTATCTCTACTTGTTAAAATCCCATTTATCTCTCAAGGTTCAGGCCCTTTGTTTATATCCATACCATTAATATTTACCTCACTGTATTAATGTCAATTATTGGCCCGCTTGATTACTTTTTTCAAGAGGATAAGGACACCTGATGGGTAGGAACACTACTTATTCATTTCTATATACCTCTTTCTCAGTGATCTAGCCACTGCCCAGGATGATACAGGTTCCCAAAATGCTTGAACAAGTGCAGGAACCAGAGCTGCCTCTACTCCTAATGAGTTGCTTTGCACATTCATTCCCGTTCCCTGCATGTGTTCAAAGCTACAGCCAGAAAATCACTAAGGAGGTGCTATCAAGAAGATTAGGTGATAGGACTAGCTTGCCTTTTAAAATCCCTTTGGCCCAAAGACCCTGAAATTCCAAACAGACCCATGAAGGAAGTATCCATTGTCCCTTGGAGCTGTGCTTTTTTTTTCTTTTTTCTTTCTCTTTTCCTTTTTTTCTCTCCCTAAAGACAGCCATTTCAGAAAATCTTAGTTAAGGGCAGATTTTAATGTCTCATGCCACTGCTTTTCTGTCATTTGTTACATCTGCTTTGGCTCATAAGTAAGAACTAGCATCTAAAATCAGATACTGAATCACTATACTCGAAATAATGTCCATAAATAGAAACTTATGGGGCAGTGAGTTTATGTTAACAGGGGAGGAACAATTTTGAAAAGGAGGATGACAATGGCTGCACAATTCAGAGAATGTAATCAATGTCACTGAATTGTATATGTAGAATTATTGAATTGGTGCATGTTGTGCTGCATAAATTCTCAACAACACAAAAATTATTTTTTAAAAAAAGAAATAAATAGAAAATAATTAAGTGTGAACTGTTAAGTATAGATTGCAGGCTCTACGAGAGGAAAGAACAATCGAAGCGAGCCAGAATGATCAAGAAGATTTTCAACTGGGTACTAAAGAATGGATAGGATGTAAATAGTCAGAGAAAAGCACTTCCATGTTAAGAAAAACAGTAACAAGGAAGGCACAAAAGTAAAAAATATAAACATGGTGTGGCACTAGGACGAGAGCAGTGTGACTAAAGCCTGGGTCCGTGCTTGGGAATAGTGGGAAATACTACTTGTCCAACAAAATGAGGCCAAATAATTGGGTGTGTGTAGGTTGGGGTGGGGGTGGGGGGCTTGAGAAACTGGTAATAGGAGACCATTGAAGGTCCTGGGTAGAGGTCCAGAGTAATTTAAGAAAAATTAAGTCTGGGAGAATACTGTAGCATGGACATGAAGGGAGAGGCCAAAGTCAAGGGTGGCCCCTGAGAAGGTGGTCATAATCATATGGGCTAAAGGGGTCAAGGGTCTGTTCTGGGGGTGGGACGGGACTGGAAATAGAGAAGAGGGATAGCCCAAAGGAGTTAGGAGGATCTGTTGGCCGGGTGTAGAAGATGAAAGAAAAGGATGTGTTTAAATGATGGAAAGGATGGTAGTGCCCAGAACAGAGTCAAGAAACTGAGGAAGAGAAGCTGTGTTGGAGGGCAAGGTAGCTTTTAAACATGTTGAATCTACAATAAGACATTCAAATGTGAAATATCCAGGAGCAGATAAGCTATACAACAGGAGTTCCGGAGAAAGAAAAAGATTTAAATTAGAGACTTGAGAGCTTTCTACTGATAAGGAAAAGCTGAAGTCCTAGAATGAGAAAGACAGTAGAAGAGCACATAAGAGCCCAAAAGAGATGAACAGCTCAATTTTGAGGCCATTTGAAAACTAGAAGTTCACAAGAATATGAGAACAATGAAAGGAACAGAAAAGGAGCAATCAGTGTGGGATAAAAATTTAGAATCTGACACTGTCACAGAAAACACATATGGAGTTTCAAAAAGAAAAGGGTGACAAAAAGAAGATTGGCAAGGGCCAAAGCATGTTAAAGATACCACTATACTACTTACAGGAGTCCTGTGGTGGAATGGTTAAGAGCTACTGCTGCTAATCAAAAGACTGGCAGTTCGAATCCACCAGCTGCTCTTTGGAAACCCTATGGGGCTGTTCTACTCTGTCCTATAAGATCGCTATGAGTCAGAATCGACTTGGCGGCAAGGGGTTTGGTTTTGGTTTATACTACTTACAAATGAGCAGGGTTTCCCCTCCCCCAACTACTAACATAGTATATCAAATTATTTAGTTGGTGGGTGGACAGAAGAGATTTTATTGCTGTAAGACATGCTCTATATTTTTTAATGACAAAAAAGGCAGGGGATATGTTAAGATGTTGCTATTCTTTGTGCAGTCATAAAAATAAAAAAAGAATAACTCTTAACATGGATCAGTTCTGAATAATTTCATTTGGAATTTGTACTTTTCTAGGAGCTATTTTGTTATATAATAGGTATAACACTGCAGATTCCAAGTATTGGCCATTTATTGTAATGTGTGAGTAGCATATCAGAATGTTTAAGTCCTGATAAAAGTTGCATTTAAATGTGACCCAGGGAAGAGTAAGTAACTCACAGGATACTGCTAAGCACACACAAAAAAGATGTGTTTCTGAGTTCTCAAGACTGTTTGGGAAGTGATGCCACTTACCTGCTCAAGGAATTCTTGATTTATGTGCAGGGTTTACTCATGAGCCAGACTTGCACCTACTTTCATTTTAACTGTGGACCATCTGGGAAGGCACCACAGATAGAAAACAATGTTTCTGGTTAAGTTGGGTATTAAAATCACTTGGATTTGACTGATTGGAGATAACCTTAGAGGAAACCAACTGCCTTTTCTACTGTCACTGGAGGAACAGGAAGCTGGTCTCTGGAATAGGAGTGTGAACCACTGTGCAAGAAATTCCCTCTACTTCCCCAAATTGGCAATGATCAGATTAATAATTAATAGTGACCATAGACAGATGTGCTCTTTGAGAAAGAAAAAATGCAAAATTATACACACAAAATTCAGTATGAAACTAGTCATTTATTTTGAATGAAAACCAGAAGGGGCCTGCAGTTGTAAGGGCAAAAAAGCTAAGTTTCACCAGCTACATGGTAAACCTACCTCTGGCAGTGACCAAGTACAGGGAGAATAGTGTGGAAAGGAAGAAAGAGGAGGTTATCAGTAGAGGAAAAAGAAACGCCAAAACACTCCTTAAGGAACACTGGAGCTCAAAACAAGAAAAAGACAAGAAGAAAATCCCAGGAAGAACCCTGAATTGTGGAATATGGACGTTGCATGGAGACGGGTGAGGGGACAGAACTCCTAATCGATTTAGACAACACATTATCATCATATTTATGTTCCAGTGATCAACAATCACGTTGCTTCTTTCTAGGAGTCTTGCCTAGGAGGTTCAGGTGTTTGGAAACACCAGTCCACTCCACTGCAGGCATTGAACAAGTGTTTCCTGAGGGAATGAATACATAAATGAATGACCAAAGTGAAACAAGGGAAACAAACACTCCTTTTTTCTTACTCTGCACCAGAATCTGTTGACCGCTGCCACTCCAGTATACATGTATGTTTTTGTTGGCATTGGCTGGAACTGTCAAAGCAACATTTCAGGCTCATCTCTGCTCTAGTGATCAAGAATATTTATCCTCAATAGGCCAAGACAAAATTAATTTACAAAAATGTTCAGCGCCCCCTCAAAATAAATATACATAAAAATGGCTCCTTTAATTTCAGATCCTGCAGAAATGATTAACACCCCTGGGGGAAGGGGTGAAACACAATCCCTAAACTCAAACATTTTACCAAACAAGACAATCTAAGTGACAAATAAATCAGTCATGGTGGGGCTTCCAGGAAAATACTGAAGAGCCTCTTGTACCACTCACTTGGTCAGCCACAAACCCAAGCCAGGACCCGGGAACCCAAGCCCTCTGAGCAGGCTGGCTCATCACAGGATAGGATTCAGGCAGTGGGGGCTCTTAGTGAAAAAAGGACACAACAGGTCACTCACTGACCTGCTCTCAGCCCCTGCTTCACAAAGGGATTCCCTTTGGGTAATAAATGCTCTACACTTTCCTGCAAATTCTAAAAACTGGCAGGAGTAGGTTACCTTTCCCTTAACGTTTCTACCACGTTCCTCTTCACCTACCATATTTTCTAAGGAAAAACGCTTCAAGAACAGCAATACTACTACCACTACCTTAATACTACAAAAACTCATTTGCGGATGTTCTGTTTTAGGCAAAAGATGTGAAATCAGTGAGGCACAGCAGCCACCTCAGGAATTAGTTTGACTCTTAAATTGGAGAACCTGGTTCAGCCACTTCCCAACTAAGTGATTTGATCTCAGGGGAGTTACTGAAATTCTCCAGGCCTCACTTTCCTTATTTTATAAAATAGTGAGTAAAGTATGCACCTAACAGAACTGTTGAGGATTGAGAAAATCCACACGAAGTGCTAAATATAACTTCACACCAAGAGCAAATTAAATATTAGCATTTAATATCAGTAGTAAAATTGTTCCTGCCTCTCCTAGTGCACATCACCAACAAATCCGGCCCAACCCGCACTTCTACTTCACAGATCCGTTCACTCTCGCAGGTAGGAGAAACCCCCAAACGCCACCTGTGCTCCCCACTCCGGGCCGGCTAGGGCCCCTCAGATGACCGCTACTGTGCACACTGACCTGAGATGCCGCCTCCTATCACGACTACGTCGAACATATGGCCCGCGTTATTCGCCTTCTCTCGACTCCCCATGGTCTGCTTGCTACTCTCCGGAGGCGTGGGTATAGAAGTCAGGCCGGCCGAGGGCGGAGCCGACTCTTCTACCGACATGCCGGGGGAGTCCAGGGGCGGAGCAGATCCTTGTGCAGATAACCTGGGGGAGCCAGGCACTGAGGGCGGAGCGGACCCAGGTGCTGACACTCCAGGGGAGGCCGACGGCGAAGCAGATCTTGATACAGATACCCGGGGAGAGCCGGGTATCGAGGGTGGGGCGGGCCCTGGTACCGACACTCCCGGGGAGCCCGGGGGTGGAGCAGATCTTGGTATGGATACCCGGGGGGAGCCGGGCAAGGAGGGCGGAGCGGACCCCGGCCCTGTTACTGACACTCTGGGCGAGGCGGAGGGTGGAGCAGATCCTTGTACGGATACCCAGGGGGAGCTGGAGACGGAGGACGAGGGGGACCCTGGTAATGACACTCGGGAGGTGTTCAAGAGTTGAGCAAAGCCTTGTACTGAACTGAGTGGGGAGCCGGGCATGGAGGGCGGGGCGGACCCGGGTACTGACACTTGGGAGGTATTCAAGAGCTGAGCAAATCCTTGTACTGAACTCCGGGAGAAGTTGAGCACGGAGGGGGGGGCGGACTCTTGTACTGACACTCGGGGGGTGTTCGTGGGTGTAGGAGGTACTTGTATTGAACCCCGGGGGGAGCTCAGCATCGAAGGTGGGTCGAGCCCTTGTACTGACTCTACGGGGGTGTTCATGGGTGTAGGAGGTACCTGTACTGAACCCTGGGGGGAGGTGGGCATCGAAGGTGGGGCGAGCCCTTGTACCGACCCTACGGGGGTGTTCGTGGGTGTAGGAGGTACTTGTATCGAACCCCGGGGAGAGTTGGGCATCGAAGGTGGGGCAAACTCTTGTACCGACCCTACGGGGGTGTTCGTGGGTGTAGGAGGTACTTGTATTGAACCCCGGGGGGAGCTGGGCATCGAAGGCGGGGCGAGCCCTTGTACCGACCCTACGGGGGTGGGGGTGTTCGCGGGCGTAGGAGGTCCTTGTACTAATATCCTGGGGAAGCCGGGCATTGAGGGCGGGGAGACCCTCAGGTTCGCGTTGGAGCCGGTGTCTGGGTTGGAGGGTAGGGACGCTCCACTGGAGACGCTCGGGCTAGTGGTGGACGACTTGGGGATCCGGTCGTTCAGACCGCGGGCGCTGAAGCCCCAGAGGCCAGGCTTGGAGTTGGGGTCAATTCTCGGGCCAGAATCGGAGCTGAGGTTGGAGTAGGCGCTGGAACTCCAGGAGTTGGACGCGTCCATTGTGGACGCAGTCGACATGGAGCTGGAAAACGGTTCCGAAGTACTCCACTCGGAGTGGGCGCTCCACTCGGTTCTAACGGACTGGTCGGAGACCTGGGCAGCGCCGCCCCTGGCTCCGGGCGCACCCTCTGCCTCACGCCCCCGCCCACCGCCGCCGCCGCGGGAGTCCGCGGAGCTGTTTGTGCTCATGGTTCTCAAGCGCCGGGCAGGGGTGGGGGGCTGTTCTATTCTACCCCACCCTTCTCCCAAGTAAGCTCGCCTCTTGGGGTCCGCTCTTCCTGGCTTGGCGCGCCCCGGGGTCTGCTCTTTCGTAGGCCCGCCCCGGGAGCCCGGCCCACTTGTGGGCGACGAGACGAGGGCGGTGGTGAGGCCTGGCTCCGCCTTCCCGTAAGACCGTGTCGCTTGTGGGGAGGCGGGGGGGGGGGCTCGCTCCCAGAGTGGCCGGGCGACGCCACCGAAGCGGGGGGAGACGTGGTGGTCGGGCGAGGGGCGTGGGTGTGAGCCTTGCCGTGTGGGGGGATCTCTACCTGGCACTTTCTTTCTTAGGCTTTAACTGAAAGGGGGCTGGGCCAGGGTGGGCTTAGAGAAGCTAGTATTTGAAGGAAGAGGATCCAGCAAAGGCTATGAAATTAGTGAGTCCTCTGCTTCCTCATTTGGTAGCGTCCCTTTGTGACGTCTCATGGTGGCCTAATGAGGTCTGCGGGGTCGCGCGCTTTCCCTAGGGAGGGGGGCGTGATGACGTAGAACTAACCGTCTCTGGAGGGAGACTTGGGAGTTATTGGTTCTAAGATTTTTTTCAAGTTGAGGTGCTTAACCAAAATTAAATCAAGTAGACAAGCAAAATTAGAACCCAGCTATGACAGATTAAGTGGAACCTGTAGTTTAAAAGCAAAGGTTAAGGGATGGCTAAGGTGCAGAAACAGAACATGTTTTCCTATCCTACTGAAAAGAGTGGCTTTTAGTGCTATATTTCACTAAGCAGCTTCCTGCTTTGCTAATTATTCCCTTTCTAAAGTTTCCAGTTTTCCTTAACATTCTAAAGCTGAATTTGTCATCACTGAAACTCTCAAAAATAGATGTAATTATGAACTAAGTAAGTGATGAGATCTCTAGGAAGTTAACTAGATACCCTTTCGGACCTATAGACATTTCTCCTGCCCCCCTCCCCACTATGTATCAAACTTCTTGTTGAAGAAACTAAGGAAATATAGATTTAGTTCTTTCTTCTGTTTCAATAGCTTTTACTTCCAAAAAAAGGAGTTGAGGCTTATGATTAAATTGGTATCATTTTTATCTGGTTAGGCTTTGAAGCAAAGGGAAAGAAAATAAAGAATTTAACTTTTTGTAATATGATTCTGTCCAACTTTGTCCTTATTCCTGTTGCTTTCTTTTCATTCAAACATTTGATCTCATATTATGTGGTAGGCACAGTGCCAGGTATTGGGGATACACAAGATTATAAACTGTCATAGAACACACAGTCTAGTAGAGGAGACAGACAACCTCACGATTGATGTGTAAATACAAATTCAGGTAAATGTTATAATGGGAAGATTCATTATGATGAGAAAGTATTAGGGTACCCTGACCACTCTGAAAGCTAACTTTGGGGTGGGGAGTGTAAAAATATTCTAGAAAGAGGGAAGAATGTGGGAAAAGGTCCTCTGGTAGAAAGCAGCATGACTCACTGGAGCAGTATAAAGCCACATGGTGGAGCTTTAGTAAGGGAAGAAGTGCAGGAGACAAGGCTGGTAAGGTAGGATAGGCTGATAAGACCTTGAAAGACCAAGGTAAGATCCCTGGTGTTTGTCCTAAGAGCAGTGGGAGCCACTGCAAGATTTTAAGCAAGGGATAACATGATTATATTCCATTCTGAAAAGGTCTTATCTGCCTGCCATGTGGATAATGGGATGAAGGGGATAAGAATAGATAGATGCAGGGAGATCAAAGTTGGGAATTCTTTGAAAAGTTGATGGTGTCTTGGACTAAGATGGGTGGTGGCAGTGGGAATGGAGAGATGTAGACTTATTTACATGTCTTAAACTTGGCTGTGGACTTGATTGTGGCTAGGATATGGAAGATCATGAGTATGTTTTTGGACAAGTTGAGCTTCAAGTTCCTTTGAGACATCCAGATGAAGGTTATAGAATAGGAAATTGGATGTAAAGCCTGAGACTCAAAGGAGGATTATGAGCTGGAGATACAGTGTTTTATTAAATAAGTAATAATAGATGGTTGGAATTATGAACATTTTTCTCTATTTTGCTTGCTTGTGTTGTATATTGGCATATCTTTTATAAAATAAAAAAAGACTATTTTAAAATAAAGAAATAATCATTAAGAAATATCTCAACGAGTCCCTTTTCCCCCTTGTGTGACCTTGGGCAAGTTACTTAACTTCTCTGTGTCTGTCTTCTCAACTGTAGAATCTCATAAGTTCTATCAGTCAGAGTTCAAGCAGGAAACAGCGTACTCAAATTAGGTAATTTTTAAAGCTCTTGATTGAAATTGCCAGTTCTTGCCAAAACTTAGACTTCATCAGAAGTGTCTAAGGATGGCTGTTTTGCTTGCCACGTCCACTCCAACATTAGTCAGGTTAACTTTTTTAACCTTTCTTAACTTGAAAGGTGAAAAATCAGCATGGCATTGCTATTTTAATTACTGTTTCTTTGACTACTATCAAGATACTTTTTCATATATTTGTTAGCCATTTCAAAGTCTTCTGTTGTGAATTATAATTTTATGCCTTCTGATCATTTATCAATTGGAGACTTTGTTTCTGTAAGTGCTTTACATAATAAGATATTAACCCCTTGTTTGTTACTTTCACTGAAGATTATTCCAAGTTATATTTTAGTATTGGTTATGACAGTTTTGATAGACATTTTAAATTTATGCACTTGTATATACTCTTTAGTGATTTCTTCCATTGCTTTTAAGCATAAAGAGTCCTTGTCCTTCAGAGATCTGAAGGATAAAAATCTATTCTTTTAGTTTTTTGATGGTTTGACATTTTTTAATTTAATTATTTCATCCTAATTTGCCAGAATGTATTTTGTTATGTGCTCCTGTGGAACTGCTACAGGCAGCCATTCCTTGAAGAAGGGCCCCACTAGGAAGAAGAAGGCACATACAAATTAGGATAATTTGAGGCAGGTTTAGTAAATGGAATGTTTACAAAGGTGTGGGCAGGGTACAGGGAGACCAACAAAGGATAGTGAGGTACCTGTGAGGAAGTAATAGCAAAGCTGTCAGCACTCCATATGTCGGGCCAATAGGAAGCAGGTGAGGAAGTGGTTACTAGGACCTGGAAGGATAAAGTCTTATGAAGAGGGTCACCTTGAAAAGAGCTGCCACCACTGGTTGAGGGACATGGGTAGCCCCTGGGGACCTCACAGGGAGGGAGCCATGAAATAAATACTCCAGACTTACTTGCCTCCCCCCTCTTATCTCCTGGCAGGTATCTCCATTGGATGAACTCAACCAGAAGCCAGAGCATAAGAGGGCCAGTTATAGACCATACAGGACAGCCTCTCATAGTAGAAAGCAATATGGAGAAGAGTGGGAAGTAGATCTGGAGGGGCAACTGGAAGACATCCAGCACAGGTAGCCTTCAATTAAAGCAAGAATATGAATCAGATACCTTGATTTTCACAACAAAACACTATCTTTGCTATTTTCAGTCCTAGTATCCAGAATATGTGGATTTTTTTAATGGAA